TTAATATAAAATATTTTTAAAATTATTTAAAAAATTTAGTTTTAAAATACATAAAAACTCTTTCTAAACATTATAAATATTAATTCAGTTAAATTTATCATTATTGTTTTGAAATATAAATCCTAAGCAGAAAATATGGAGAAAAATGAAAAAAAAGAGAGAGAAAGAGAGATATGAATTTTAGAAGAGAATCCCAAGTTGAGAAAGATAAACTTTTTCAAAAAGTAACCCGGAAAGGCAGAAGAAGCGTGGCAGTGACGCCTCCGAACTTTCCCCTTGTTCCCACTGTTCTAAGGGTAATAATAATCACGGCTCTTTTTTTATGTACAGTCTTACATTAAGTCACTATTAAGTCTTCCACTGAGTCTTCCTTTTAATTCTATAGTGTTGTACAATTATTGAAACCTCTCTGTAATTGGTTTCAACTTGCCTACTTCATTCAAATACTGTAATACCCTCATACTAATTGTAGCTTTTGGATCACATAGCATGTATTCAATTCACTGCCACATCTCCCAGCATCTTCAGGGAAAAATGAAGAAAAAACAAAAAGATTAGATAGGAATCTAAAGTTGAGAAAGAAACTTTTTTTAAAAGTGAACACGGAATAACTCCACCAAACGATTTGATGGGTCGTGCGTTTCATTGAAGGAGGTAAAATATTCACCAGATCTACGGATTGAATCTTTAATTATTAATAATTAATAAAATTAATTTATTAATCATTGTCCTTGTAAAAATAAAAAAAAAAAAAAAAAAAAACACGGAAAGGCAAAAAAGTAACGAGGCATTGTAGACGAGCTGTCCTCTCGTTCCCACTATTCTAAGGGTAATATTCGCGGCTCCATTTTTTATGTATGTAGTCTTCTATTAAGTCTTCCACTAAGTCTTTCTTTTAATTTTGTAATGTTATATAATTATTGATCACTTTATAATAATAAATTAATTTTTGCGCTTTTGTTCAGCACCTTAGTGAAAAGATTGCACCAACCTCTCTTGTAATTGGTTTCAACTTGCCTACTTAATTCAAATACTGGAATACCCTGACACTAATTGTTCCTTTTTGGACCACTTTACAGATATTCATTTCACTGCCATATCGCCAAGCATCTTCCAGGAAATATCCAGCAATATCACTTCTATAAAGTTTGCTCTTCTCCTTGACCCTCTCACCTTCTCTTATTATCGGACACAATTTGGCTTCCAGTTGAGTGCGTGTGGTTGCCTCCAGTTTGCTTAGCCTAACTATTTGGATTACCAGTGTCCTCTTTCTTCGATTTCTTCCATTGAACTTGTAGGTATACTATCTATTAAGATCTTCAATTATGATTATGCGCATTCTCATTTTTAAATTGTTTCTTAATAAATTGTTAGATTTTTTTATCTTTAAATTTATTTTTATCTAATTAATATATAGCTACTTAATAAATCTTATGAGTTATTCTTTTATTGATCATATTCAAAATCTGTTCTAATTTCAGGAAGTATTTATCGACCTTCTACTTACAAAAAAATAAGTTTACAATTAAGCAGATCTACTTGTGCGTGTACTTTACTTGGTTTAATTTGGTCATCATCATCTCTAATTTCTTCAATTTCATTCATTTGTTGAAGCTACAGGTATACCATCTGAATCTTAAATCTTGATTCATGTAAATTTTTGTTGAAGTATATGTATATATTTGTTTGGTATATTGAAAAATTAACTATTTGTTAGGGCAGAGGTTTGAAACCCTTACCTTAACCTCACATCAAAGTTTTTCTTTTGTTTTTTTTTTTTAAGGATATAAAATAAAAAAAAGTAGATATGACAACATTAACCTATTAACTTCTGTAGTCCACCTTTTTATATTATCTCTTGCTTTGAGCATAATTCAATTATAACTAAATTAATCGAAATCTTGAGGGTTTTTTTTTTTTTTTTTTTTTTT